TCAGTTAAACCTTTATCAAATTCTTATTTTTATGTACAAACTTCATAATAAGATATCACCTATAATATTTAGTACACTTTTCAATAAAATTAATCACATGTACCCTACAAGATTTTCTAAGTACAATTATGAGCAACCTAAAATGCATTATTTGGCTACCAAATTTTCTATTGCTATAAGAGGTCCTAATTTATGGAACGCTTTATTAAGTGACGAGCTGAAAAATTGTTCTTCTCTTTACCTATTCAAAAAAAAATTGAAAAAAAAAACTTATTAACGATGTTAATGAATTAAATTCTTTTTAAAAATTTTTTATTTTTATTTTTTCTTTATTTTTAACAATTATCTTATTAACTCTATAAACTCTATTAAACTCTATTAAACTCTATTAAACTCTATTAACTCTATTAAACTCTATTAAACTCTATTAAACTCTATTAAACTCTATAAACTCTATTTAAACTATAACTCTATTAGCTTATCTATAGTTTTGATTTTTTTTTTTACTTTCTTTTTACTATTTTCTTTTGATTATAGATTAGTAACTAGTCTTAACATACTTGTAAATAATTGTATATAATTTTTTAAATGGCACAAAGTAATTGTATATTTAACTTTTAATGGTTGTACACGCTTGCTTATGAAAGCACGTCGGGGTGTAGTGATAAGGCAAGTATTGTCTTCTTTTAACCCCGGTCATGTAGATCTTATTTATATTACACGGCATTGTATTCTTTTTTTTTTACTGACGAAACAAATTAAAAATTATTTACATATATATATATATATATATATATATATATATATATATATATATATATATATATATATATATATATATATATATATATATATATATATATATATATATATATATATATATATTTATATAGATTTATATAGATGTATATACTTATATTCGACCGTTCCGGCACTTTTATTTTCTACACGACACCACAGTGTTATACTGAGATTATAGCAACAACATTATAATAATAATATTGTTCCTATACTTTTTTACTTTTATACTTGCTATACTTTTATAAAGCATACTTTTATAAATAATAATATTAAGCTATACTTTTATAAATATATTAAACAATATTACATTATACAACGCATAATTTATTGCTAAGTTCTGCGTTTATTAAATACACTGTAAAGCTTTTAGACATAAAATTTAAAATATATAAAATATATATTAACTTTTTGATTGCTTTCATCCCGTAGTTTATTGTTTCTTTGCGTATAATTATTTCCGAGACTAGTGAAATTGCAAAATAATTTAATAAATTCTTCACAAAGTAAAAAACAAAATTCCAACTACTGATAAAACATTTATAAACTTTTTATCCACAAGGCACGATCTAAATACTAACAATGAATTATCGATTGAACTAACTCACGAGGAGTTTGACATTGGCTTTTAAATCTCATAAAAGAAATTAAGCTATTGGGTTTGACGAAATAAATAGTAACATAATAATAGACTGCTACGAAAACCTGGTGGAATGCAAGAAGCAAACTTGAGTCAAGTTCGACTTGAACTTTAGTTTGTAACCAATAGGGGCAGAGTATTTTTTGAGGGGAAAACCCATACTCTGTTGCTATTGGTTGCATGCAACCAATGTAATTGCATGCAATGTAAAGTTCAAGTCGAGCTTGGCTCAAGTTCGCTTCTTGCATTTCACCCTAAAAAACTGGCCTTTTAGAAACTCTTTCAAAATTAGCGGATCGTTTTACGCACAGTCATTATAAATAGACTATTCTTATAACTATGGATTACGTATTATTTCCAGCCTCGGGTTTTAAAATTTGGATACCTCGGTGTAAATAAGGCAATTTTAAAATATTATAGCGTCTGTATGATATTTTGTTAAATACGATATATTTTGTTAAATACGATTTATTTCCGTTAAATGATCAGGTCTGTGAATTATGAAAAAACGAAAAAAATTAAAATAATAAATTTTGCGGTAACATAAAATAAAAATTTGTAGCTAAAAAATCCAGACCATAGACTTTTTTTTTTTTTTTAATCTTCTTAAAATCACAATCGCTTGTACAAACTTAAATGATTTTAAATAAATACGTTTTTTAGGTGAAATGAACATCATTGTTTAGTAAAATGATCTGTTCTGATCGTTTATTGGCAAACATTATTAATTATTAGCGCTTTCTTGGTCAAAATTTTAGTATTTCTTGTAAAAATTGATAGAAATATTATATTTTGTCAATTATATATAGTTAATATACGTCAGAACCGATTAGATCTAGGATCTATAGTGGGTTAAGGCCAGGGTTGGGTTTGCGAGGGAGGTTGGGGGTATTTCCCCCGGGCCCCTGCTATGTCTTAAGGTCCTGGGCCTTTCTATAAATCAAGATACACAAATAAAACACACAAAAATACAAATTAATACTAACTAATTATTATAAATATGCATCAATATTTATTTTCCTATACCCTTTTAAGAAAAAAAAAGTTATTAAGGGTTTAACGTATTTTTGTTCAATATTTTGTTACCTAAAAGGGCCCCATCTATGTCTCCCCCTGGGCCTCTTAGTGTCAGTCCGACCTTGGTTAAGGCACTTTTCAAAAGATTTTAACTAAGTTTATGTTAACGCCGTTAAACGAAAGTGATCTAAAGACTCCAAAATAGTGTTCTTTAGATTTACTTATTAGGGTTAGTAAAAAGGTTTTGAAAACTATATTAGAGCTATATTAGAGCTTATATTAAAAATATATTTGAAAACTATATTAGATAAACTATATTACTATATATAAAGTTTCTTTTTCTAATATTGTTTCATAGTAGAATTAAAAAAACCTGAAGCGAAAAAATTATAACAACTAAAGCTCTTGTTTGGAGATTATATGCTGCTAATTCCAAATAATAATAATTCGAATAATAATCGCTTAACTACCGTAAACGGGGGTGAATATGAACGCTTTTTGAACATTTTTGCATCATGAAAGAAAACTGTTGGCCTAATTGCAACCATTTTTTCTGTAACAGAACATTATACTACTCAGCTTCCTGTATTAGTCGTAAGCCTGATCAACGCTATGCAGTAAATACCTTAGTTTTCTGGTTTTATACGAGCATATACGTATTTCCGAAACGGGGTGAAAATGAACGGCCAATTTGGGGTGACTTTGAACACTACATATTATTTCTATATTCTAGTATATCGCTATATTACCTTATTACAATGGGGGAAAAAACTGTTAAAGATCAAAACAGATAACATGAAGTTTATTTTTCATAGAACATATTTTTATTTAAACTAAGTTCATGTGAAAAATTAGCATACTATGTTTAAAAACTAGTTTTTTCAATATATTAACATGTATCACAATATTTACAAATCTGTTCCACATAAAAACAGAACATTAAATATCACTATCCTCAAATTTCTTCAAATGACTCACACATACTGCATACAAAGTATAAGATATTTTCAATATTGAGCTCATAATAATCATCTTTATCATAAATGAGGCCACAACACTGGAGGTGATATGGTTTACTGCATTTGTCGCATTGAACCCACACGTCGTCGCTTAACTCTACCCATTTTTTGTTACAGAAAGTACAGTACCAATCATTATCTGTGTTGCTTTTTAGCTCTGTTGAACTTGATGGAATTGACTCAACTAAAGAATGAATTCTTTTAGCTGGTACCACCTTTGGACCACGAGGTTTGCGTTTTGTAGTTATATTTGTGCCTAACCCTAGATTGTTTTTTAGAATATCTAAAACAGATTCGTTAAGAACCATAACAGTGTCATTACCACCAGGGTTTTTATATTTTCCTGGAAGACGTTTTATAACCTCTGTTCTGTCCATAGGGTAGATTCCCGTTGCTTTAATCCGCTAACCAAAGCTACTGGTCGCAAAGTATTATTTAGTTTATTTAAAAGCGTAGGTAAATGTTCTTTTGGGATAGCTCCTTTGATACGACTTTCTGATCTCCACTTTAAAAGAATACTCCTCCACGACTGCTTTAATCCTCTAAAAACAGCAACATCTAATGGTTGGCAGAGATGAGTCGCATTTGGAGGCATTGTTATAAACTTGATGTTAGGTTGAATCGTGGTTTTAATAACTTCAGGAGAAAAATGTGAACCAAGATTATCTCCAATCAATAGTGTTGTTCCGGCTTTTGAAATAGCAACAGGCAAATATATTTCCATAAACCATCTGGTAAACGTCCTACCATCAAACCACCCGTTAGGGGAGATGTCGTAAACAGTTCCAGGTGGTCCACCTTGAGTCCAACCCTAGTAAAGGTTCTTTGCTTTGTAAACTACCATGGGCGGCAAAAACTCTCCAACAGCATTGCCAGAAAAAATTAAACTGGTCGACTGCTTCGAATGTTCTTGTTTTTTTTCGACACGGTGCCCAAGGCCACGACGAACAATAGCGGATTTGGACCCTGGATTGTCTGTTATATTGGTCTCATCATAGTTATAGATATTTTCTGGATCGGATACAGACAAGTTATACATTAAATTATTGTTTTATTAGAACATTATTTACCTGAACCTAAATTGAGGTAACTTTGATGACGTTTAGATGAGCGGTTCTTAAGATACTCCTTGATAGGTGGGTTAATAACACGAACCACGTAGCTTGTACTGTTTATATGCGATAGAGAAAAGGCGGGAAAAGAAAATTTTGAGGGCAGCCGAAAATTATCTTCCACACTATATTTAAGTGATTTTACTATTTTATTCCACATTATATTTACACACTATTTTTACACACTATATTCCACATTATATTTACATACTATTTTATTCCACATTATATTTAAGGCAAGTGAGTCAAAAAATTTCAATTTTTAGCTATATTTTATGTGCTGCTCACTGATCTCAAAATATAATTATATTTTGAGATCAGTGGTGCTGCTTCACCATTAAGTTAAGCTAGTACTAGTGTTCATTTTCACCCCGCTGTTCATATTCACCCCCGTTTACGGTACATCTAGACGGAACAGTGAATAAATATAAATATAAAAAATTTCTGAGAACCATAAAAACAAAATTTTAAAAAAATGCACACGTTCCTATTGATCGTATCTTGTGCTATTTTTAACGTTTTTTCTTCAAAAGAATATAGCCTGTGTGAAGAAAATCAAAAAAAGTTATCAGTAAATCACAAATGTCCTGATAACTGCACAGAAAAGAGTCAACAAATCTATTGCTCAACTATTTCAGCCGCTTTGTCTTTAAAAAATCTTACTAACACATGCATTGTCATAGAAGATAATCAAATACTGAATAATGTAAACGTTATAAAAAATGTTAGCAATTTGACAGTAACCGGTATAAATTCAGAAATAGTAATTAATTGTACATCTAATTTGAATGCTGGAATTTTGATATACAATGTTACTAAATTGTTGTTTATGAATCTCCATATAAAACAATGTGGATCAATAAGTAAACAAACTTTCGGAAGAAATGTTATTATATTGTCATCTGCACTCTTTTTCTCTTATATTGTTGATCTCACTTTCATAAATGTTTATTTTACTAACAGCAATGGCTATTCTGTTGTTCTACTGGATGGTAAAGGAAACATCACTTTTGAGGCAGTTATTTTTCAAAATAACACTTTTTATTTATATATGAATGAATCTTCAGAATATTACTCCGGAGGGGGCTTATTAATTTGGTACTCGCAAGCAAAAGTAAATGAAATAGCAAATATAAATATAGAAAATTGTACTTTTCGATGGAACTCTGGTAAAATAAATGCTAAGATCAAAAGTTTACTTAATGAATCTGATGTTCCATTTGGACATGGTGGTGGTTTAGGTGTTTTCTTTACTGAAGATACAAGCAAAAATATTTTATCAATAAATAACTGTAAATTTTTGCATAATAAGGCTCTGCAGGGTGGCGGTTTATTTGTTTTTCAAGGATGTAGTAATAGCATATTGATTAAAGAGTCATTGTTTATTGATAATAATGCCACTCAATATGGTGGTGGATCATGCATTTCAGAAGTAAATTCAAAGCAACTTAATAAAGAATATGTAACATTTGAGAATTGTACTTTTTTTAGTAATAGTGGTATATTTGGTGGTGCCTTGAGTTTTAAAACTGATCTTAATAAAAATGGGAGATTTGATACTATAAAAAATTGCAATTTTTCAAATAACTCTGCTCTACTTGGTTCTGCTGTACATTTACATCAAGTTTCATTAGTTATAGATGAATCAAAATTCTCTCACAACAGTTATTGGCAATTTGAACAAACAACAGGACAAGGTGCTGTTTATGCATATGGTAATGAAATTCAATTTTTAAGAGAAAATCTATTTGAGAATAGTTCAAATACAGCAGTTATACTTGAAAATGCAGTTGCATTTTTTTCTGGACAACTTTATTTTAAAGAAAATAAAGGTACCAGAGGTGGTGCTTTGGGATTGTATAGTAACTCTAGAATTATTATCAATTCTAATTCAAGCTTAGCATCCTTTATAAATAACTCTGCTTTACAAGGTGGTGCCATATACGCTGAACAAAGTGTATCTTGTCCTATTTATAAATGCTTTAAACATGAAGAAAATAAAAACTGTTTTTTTTTAAAAAAGTTTCCAAGTGCAAAGTTAGAATACAGTAACAACAAGGCAAATTATGATATAAATGATATATTTGTTCCAACTCTCAGTTGCTGTCATTTTAATGATTTTGGTACCAATAATTATCTAACAGACCCGGTACGATTCAAAGTGTTTGAAGAAAATTTTACAAATATTTATCCTGGAAAAAAAATTAATCCAACTGTTCTTTTAGTTGATGAGTTTAATCATAGTGTATCAGGTTCAATAGATGTTTATCTTAATGGCTCATTACAAAGTTTCATAGTTAAAGAAAATAAAATTAATATGCAAGTATTTGGAAAAAGAAATGAGCCATATTTTATAATCTTTTCCTTGAAGAATTTTTATCAATATAGCTTTAAATTTAATCTTACTACCTGCCCTTTAGGTTATGAATTGGAAACTGATCGTTGTATATGCAATAAGAAAAATCTTGTCAAAGGTATAATATGCAACAATGATGGAGGAATTTCCTTGTTTTTTGGTTTGTATGTAGATTATAATCAAAGTGCTATAAATACTGACAATGAAACAACACATATTTGCCCATATGGTTATTGTACTCCTTGCCCGAATTTGACATGCTCTTTTGGACCTGATAAACAATGTGCAAATGGGAGGTTAGGTTTTTTGTGTTCTGAATGTCCAGGAAATAAAACCGTTGAGTTTGGAGGGGAAGGTTGTGTTGATAAATGCAAATGGTTGCATTTAATTTATATTTTATTAGGAATTTTTATAATATTTTTTTTAGTTTGTTTTGCAGTAGCATTTTTAAATATATGCATTTATGATTTGTGGCTGAACTCATGGATTTATTTTTATCAAGTTGTTCAGTATCACATAACTGCAAGTATGGATCTAGAGGACACATTTATTAATACTTTTCTCAGAAACATTTTAAATTTTCATGGAGTGCATTTAGGTAAATTCAGTGCAAATTTTTGTCTTATGAAAGAATGGAATGATTTAGATAAGCTTTTTTTTAATTATCTAATACCCTTGACAATGTTTCTTAGCATTATTTTAATTGCTAAATGGAATAAATTGTATCAGCTTCTGCAAGGTTTAAATAACAAAGTGATCAATTTTATGAAAAATTGTATTTTAAAAAACAAGTCTGATGAAGAGTTGAATTCAAAGAGAGAAACCAATTGCATTAGAATTTATCTTTTGATTTCAGTGCTTGCATATGGAGATATTACAAGGATAACACTTTCTATTCTTCTCCCAGTAGAATACAATGGATTAAAAAATCGTGTGTATTTTTATGGTGAGCAGCAATTTTTTTCTGGTAGACATCTCATTTATGGAATAATAGCTATTTTAGTTTTTTTTTTAATTGTGCTTCTATGGCCATTACTACTTATAACAACAATGTGGTGGACAAAATGGAAGATTTTTGAAAAATCTGGTCGTTTGCATCCAATTTTTTCAGCATTTCATGGGCCGTTTCATGATCATTTTCAATGGTTTGCCTCATTTTATTTCTTTTCAAGAGTTGTGATTTATGCTCTTGGTATTTTTATTAATGACAAACTTAATCAACTTTGTTACATAACAATGGTATCCTTAATAGTTTTCATTGTATTTGGAATTTTCTTTCCTTATAAAAAAGCATCGTCAAATTATTTTGATACTTTTGTTCTTTTTTTACTTGTTTTGATTGGTGCTTTAAGTAATGGTAGATTTGGTTTACCTATTGGAAAGTTCAATGCATTTCTTTTTTCAGTTACCAAAGTACTTATGTATTTACCATGCCTAATAGTTTTTAGATGGTTCTATTGTTTATTGGTATTGATCAATTTAAAAGGTATTTATTATTATTATTTTTTTATTTACTTTTTTAAAATTGAAGTTCTAGTTTTTATATTTACTAGTTCCTAAGTACAAGTACTAGGTAGCAAAATTTAGTTTGATTGATTGGTTTGATTTGAAATAAAAATACAAATATTATAAAACCAATTTTCAAATTGGTTTTAGCTTACAGATTTCTGTGAGCTAAAAACAAGTAGAAAATTAGTTATCTACCATAAAATAATATCCAATAATAAATGAATATAGGGATAACATGTGTAATATACACAATAATTTATGCAATAAATTATGAAATAATTTTTTTATAATAATGATTATAAAAAAATTATTGATGACATATCATGATGACAAAACATCTAGGTTGGGCGGTTGGGGTAAAAATGTTTTGTTACAACTTTATTTTTCTTTAAAGTTAAACAAGGAATTAGAATTTAAAAAATTACGTTTTTGTAACCTTAAGTTCTTATGTATTTACGCACCATAAAGAAGAAAATGAACTTAAAATAAAAATGTAAGAGATTATATTTGGCCAGGTTTAGCCTTATTTCAGTTAAGTTTTAAATAAACTTTGAAATATTATTTTAAAAAGTTTTCTGAAAGTGAAAATCCTTTAAAAGTTTTAGTTACGTTTATTTTAAATTATGATAATTACAAATCAATATGTGATAGTAATATCAATAAGCTAAAATCATTCTATTTTAGAAAAACGTTTTTTAGTGGTTGAGATAGATAAACAGAGGGTAAAATTATATTGGGATTTTCAATTCGTTTGAAGTTCCGTCTAGAGGTAGCAACCACACAGTCATTTTTTATACAAAATAAGAATGTTTTGCAGTTCTTGCATGGCGATACTTATTACAGGCCTTTCCGTCACAAATCCGTATTTTTGACTGGGGCGGACAATCTTACGGAAAGATATATTTTAGTTTTTTTAAAGTTCGATTTGTGAGTAATTGATTGTTACAATAAATGATTAAAAAGTGCTGTGTTCTTGAATGTAGAGGAAACTATGACGTTAAAAATGAAGTACGAGTTTTTAGGCTTCCTTCCAATGAAGAAGAAAGAAATCGTTGGATAAATTCAATTCCAAGAAGTAATTTTCTAAATAAACCAGGTACTGTTGTCTGTGAAAGACATTTTCCAGAAAATTTTTTAACAACTATTGTCAATGGGAAAGTTAGACAAATTGAACCTCTAGTTAACATTCCAGCTAGTGTTGTACCAACTCAACCTTTAAAACCAAGATCCACTACTAAAGTGTTGTCTACTATCAGAACTGAAAAGTGTGATGAATTGTCGCAATATTTAAATAACAATTTGTTTACATTCATTTTTTTATGTGAAGATATTAAAAATCGTAAATTTATTTGTCCTGTAATAACTTTTGTTATAAATGATGTTTTGCACATCCAATCAAATTCCTTTTATGTTAACTGTATACCTATGTTTGCTGTTCATATCTCAAGCAATTTTAAATTTGAAAGTTTTCATGCTGGTGTTCGTTGTTTTATTTCTTCACTATCAAAAAATCATATAGCATATCTTGATCGCTGGTCAAGAGTTGAAGAAACAAATCGCTTTTTGAACAACATTGAAATTGATCATCAAAAGTTAGTATTACAAGATCTTTTATATCTATAAATGCATCAGAAGTAGGTAAAAAAATTTATAGTGTAGAAACTATAATCAGATTCTATTATTATTTTTCAACGTCTCCATGGTTATACAATCAGGTACAAAAAGATTTTAAATTGCCTAGTGTAAAAACATTAACAAAAATTACATCTATGACAAAAAATGTTTCAGATATTGACTTTATTAGTACCATTTTTTCATATTTAGAGGAAAATCATAGAAATTGTATACTTTTGGTGGATGAAGTTTATGTAAAGTCTCTTCTTCTTTATCATGGTGGTTATCTTTTTGGAAAAGCTGAAAATAATCCAGAGTTGTTAGCAAATAGTGTTTTGGGTATTATGGTTAAATGTTTAAAAGGTGGACCATCTTTTTTATGCAAAATGATACCTGTCTGTCATTTGGATGCTTCTTTTTTGTTTAAGCAAGTATGCTATGTCATTAATTTAAATAAGTCTAGCAATGGAAAATTAATTTCAGTTATTTGTGATGGCAATCGAACAAATCAAGCTTTTTTTAAATTATTTGAGAGAGTTGAAGGAAAACCATGGTTAACAAAATATGGAATTTTTCTCCTTTTTGATTATGTTCATCTACTAAAAAATATTAGGAATAACTGGATTACAGAAAAAATGCAGGAATTACAATTTGAAAAAGACCAAAATTTGACTGCCAAGTGGAGTGACCTTAAATGTATCTTAGATTTTGAGAAAGATCAGCTAATTAAGTTATCAAGACTAAATTTTGTAGCTATACATCCAAAACCCATTGAAAGACAAAAAGTATCACATTGTTTTAGAGTATTTTGCGATAAAACTATAGCTGCTCTTAAAACTTGTTTAAAAGTTATCCAACCTTTTAATATGAATGAAACCATTTGTTTTTTAGAAAAAGTTACTAAATTTTGGAAAATTGTAAGTGTAAAAGAAATTTATGGTGATATGAAATTTTCAGATTCTCGTAAGACAGTTATTTCTGAAGAATAAGACATAAATTTGCAGTACTTACTTGATTTTGGAGATATGGCATTTAAAATGAGTGGTGAACAAGGTCATAGAATGAAATCTTTAACTAAAGATACAGGTACTTCAATTTGGCATACATGTTGTGGAGTCGTCGAGATGTGTAAATATTTGCTAAAAAACAATTTTGATTATGTTATGTTAGGAGAGTTTTCAACAGATTACATTGAAAAAGCATTCAGTAAGTTTAGGCAAGGTTCAGGTGGAACATACTTTATAACAGTTCAAAATGTTGAAAAGTTAAACATTGAAAAAGCTAAACTGTTATTGCAATTAAAAGTTGATGTTACAGATTATGCTATTGATATCGAGCATTCTTGTCAAAATTGTGGCCATTTTATAAGTGAAGAATCTTGTGACATCATTAATCAATTACCTGAACAAGAATCATCTTTGTCATTGAGTACAAAAATGGCTTTGTTTTATATTGCAGGTTATGCTACAAGCAAAGATGATGTTAGTGAAAATGATTTGTTTAATGATACTGCATTTTATTTTCAGTTATATAGAGGCTAAACAAAAACTATAGACCGCGGTGGATTGAACATACCTCTCGATTGCTGTGTGCAGTGGGTATTTTTTTGTTTCATTATTTTTGAATTTGAGAAAAACAAAATGTGCAGAAAGTCATTGTGTAATACTTTTATGATGATATCTGATATTTATAACTTTAATATGCTAAAGAAACATGGTACAATATTATCAAACATATTTCTTAAAAATTATTGTTTGCTTTTTTCACCCAAGTCCAATAAAGAACCTGCATTGAAGGTTTTAAAGTTATCTGTATAACATTAAAAAATTATTATGTACATTTTTTTATAACATTATTGATGTATATTTTGATATTTTTTTCTTTTTACTTGATGTATATTATGATGTTTTTTTCCTTTTTTTTTTTTTTTTGCATTATTTTAAAGTTTGCTCATTTTTTTGTGATTTAGATTTTAAATAATTACAATTCATTATTCTGAAAAATATTGTATTTTATTCTTTTTTTCAAAATGTTTTTTTAAAATTTGACGATTCTTAATAAACACTGCAATAGACATTTTTTGCAATTAATACAGTGCTTTGAAAATTTAGTAAACTAACTAAAAATAATGGATTAGTTCGCAAACTTTTCTAGCCATTTTTTATATTTTTCGTAACTTTGTCCGCCCCCAGTCAAAAATACGGATTCGCGACGGGAAGGCCTGCAATAAGTATCGCCATAAGTTCTTGCAATTTTCGAAAGTTACATATCTCGGCAATTTTGAAAGTTACTTATCTCGGCCACCTAAAGATATCTTTTTTAAATAAAAATAGGCTTTAGCAATTTCTGGCATTTTGTTGATTCAAGCCAAAGTAGATAGTTTGAAAGAAAATTTGAAAAATAAAAATTAGAATCATTTTTTATAAAATTCTTTAAAAAATAGTTTCTCATTCAAAATTATTTATTTTGAGTTATTAAAACTTTTCCTTTTAATTACAGGATGGTATGAAAATAGAAAACGACCGTACACCATTTTGGTAAATTAAATCTGCAACTTGTCATCTTATAAATGTAGATTCAAAATTTTAAAGATTTTTGTCTGCATTTTATTTGTCTTAAATATTTTTTATTCAACTCATTTTAGTTATGCATTAAAAGATGTAAATATTTTTTTTTTGTTTATTTGTTGTGTTAAGTGTTTTTTCCTTGAATAAAGATTTTGTCTAATAAAATGGTTTTATTCTTGATCTCTGACTAGTTTGCTTTAAGATAATTATTTATTGACCAAATAATTATTTATTGATTGTTGTAAGTGTTAATGTAATTTAATAGCACCTAAGTGTTGGCGATATCTAATAACACCTAAGAAAACTATGTGCAAGTTACATTAAGAGCTTTACTAATTAATAGACTCTTAAGTAATAGCCTTAAGAGGTATTATCTCTTTTATATAGGTTTAGTTTTAAAATGCAACAATGGCGCTGTGATTAAGGTTCTAGCTCAGAACCTAGAGGTGCGTGGTTTGATGCAGGCTCCTCCAGGGTGCTCTATGATAAGGTCTTTATGGAGCACGTTAATATCTCCACTTATTCAGCAAACTGACTATAAACTTTTTATCTACCCAAAAGACAGTTTGCTAAACAGTCTGGAAACTTTATTCTAACTTAGATAGAATTTAGTTTTACTGATGCATTATTGAAATTTTTAACAAAAATCTTTTTTTTCCAAAAAGATTTTTCGTTAAAAAGTTTATGTGATAGTATGTGTGTATGCATACTGCAGCAGCATGTGTGTATGCATACTGTAGCAGCATGTGTGTATGCATACTGTAGTGTTATTATTAGCATAAGTAATGAGTACGAAGTACTCACAGAGCGTTTGCGGCACAAGAAGAGTAAGAGGTATTTTCTTGAGAAAAACTATTTTACAATAAAAATGAAAATAAATATTAAAAATATAGAAAAAATTATTACAAGCAAATTAGAAGAACAAAAAAAAAGTATACAGTAGAAACAGAGAGATTACTTTAAGATCATGAAAAAAACTTCAATAATAATTATTATTGAATTAAACAATAACAAGTTAAATATCCCCAAGAATTGAAGACGAAATCTATTGACTTAGAGAATTGCTCCAGACGAAACAACTTACTTATCGATGGCATAAAAAAAATCCCTGAAGAAAACTAGAGTGATTGTGAGAAGGCTGCAAAAGACATTTTAAAAACGAAACTAAATCAGTGACGAATCCAGGGAGGATGCACACACCACCACCAGAACCTGAGATTCCTAAAATACCTTAGAAATTGAAGACCTTTTTTTTTTTTTTGGAGACGCAAATGTGGTGTGCAAAATACAAAAATATTTCAACAATAATCATTAAAGCAATAATCAATGACTATATATTTTAATATGAAATATATTTTAAGTCACATGATATATCTTATTGGTTAAAAAATTTCAAAATTTAAAAAAAGATTTAAACATGATTTTTTCTTAATTAAAAACAGAATTTTGAAAGTTTTTCGAGTTAAAATAGTTTTTATTATATTTAAATTGAAACTTGTTTTAAAGTATTTTTATTTATTTATTTCCACTATTTTTATTCAACTTATCTAAATCTGTTTAAAAAAGTTGTTAGTAATGTATATTTAATAGAGTTTTTTAAAATAACTTTATTTATAAAATCCATTTTTGAACCAATATGCAATAGTTTAATTTGATAATAGTTTAATTTAGTCACAAAAACAACATTAAAAACCACTTTGACAAATACTTTTACCATAAAAAAAAAAAAAAAAAAAGTTATAACTTACAAACAATACGAATAAATCACTATAATTTAATCAAAAAAATTTTGCTGAAAAAAACAGTACACAATTAAACATTTTTTTTTTTTTTTTTAATATTTTGCCGTTTAATATTACAATAACTAAATATATTTTACAATTTTTACATTAGTAACGACAGGATTTCTAGTAGATCATGAGGACCTTGTCATCAAGCCCTTTACAATATATAGTTAATTTTTAATAAAATTAAATGTCTGTAGTGAAATAATAATAATATACCTTTATGCAAAAATATTTAAAAACCAAGATAAAATGTTAAAAAGCCAAAATAAAATGTTAAACCAATTAATATACAAAATAAAACAACAACAAAAAAAGTAATTAAAAATAAATCAAGATATTTTCAATTGAAAATATAATTTTTTTAAGTTTCTGTTTGAATGAAGCAAAAGTCAGATAAAATCAAAATTTGGTAAGACTATTTTCTTCCAGAGATAAGGACCTCGATAAGAAACAAAAAATCTTTGCTTTTACGACAAAAAGGGACAATAAGATTGTTATTAATTCGAAGATTATATTTGTTTTTAGGTTTCATACAATAAAGATTTTGTTATACATTAGGCGACAAATTTTCTCTGCATTTAAACATGGAACATAAAATATTAAAGACATTTAGTTGATATACATTTAAAATATTCATTTCTTTAAAACGTTGTTTCGTATGAAAAAACCGATTTTTAAAATTTATTGCGCAAGTTGCGTGTTTTTGATGAAGGTAAAGATATTTTAGCTTTGTTCTGAGAGTTTTACCCCATATAATATTCGCTTAGTTTATATGACAATGTATATATGAATAATATAATTTTGTTAAATGGTGTTCATCTAATATATTCCTTACTTTATAGAGAATTCCGATGCATTTAGCAATTTTATTGGAGGTATTATCCATTATTCAAACATTATTTAAAAATTATTATTTCAAAACATAATTCAAAAATTAGAAATCTATATTTGACAAGCATTTCTATGTCCCTGCATAGTCAGTTCCTGTCGAGCATATCTTTTGTCAGAGTGGATTCATAATGTACCCTTATAGAGCTTATGTCTGACTCATTGCTTGAGATTTTGATGTTTCTTAAATGTAATAAAGATTTATAGGCTATATTAAAGGCTATATAGTGATAGTTAATGCTTATGACTTATAGTTAATGCTAACAACTTATTTCAACATATCTTTAGTTAAAATGTTAATATTGGTAATTAGCATTAAGCATAAATTTAAAGAATCAAAAGATTTAATTCTTTATTTTTTATATTTTTGTTTTCGGGTTTTATATATATCTACAAGTATATTTTCTTATTGACTTCGCCGAATTTTGCGCATAACCTTGGTCTAATTTCACAACATGTGGTTTTATTTTCATAGCATTTACTAACTACAGTTTTGTTAATAATTGACCTTAACATAAGGCTAAAAATTAAGTCTTTGGTCCTAAAAGTGTATTGGCCTTGAAACTCTTGGTCTTGGTCTTGAAACTTTTGGCCTTGTAACATGTGGCTTTGGCCTTGGGCTTGCTACTTTTAGCCTTGTTAACAACTCTGTCCAAATTATAAAAAACTATGAACAAAAAGAAACATTCTGTATTGGAGACATAGATTGTTTACAATATGATAAACATGCCAATACTAAACTTTTTTTTTTTTGGCAAAATTCTTCAACATTACATCTTCCCAATTAAAACGAGTAACTACAATTTTAGTCACTGTATTAAACAATTCATTCTTTGATATTTCTTTAATGGCAGGAATAATAAGACAGATATATCTGATAAATTTTCCTATTTTCTTCTTCTCCTTGACACAAAATATAAAATCTATTAATAGTTGCAAAATTAAAATTTATAAAAAGAAAATCAACAAATTTATCTGTTCAACAATTTAAAGACTCACTGTCGACAGAAGATTGGTACAAACATATCAAGGGTTCAAGATCGTTAAAGCGAAAAACGTTAAAGCAAAAAAGTTACTGGTTTTTCTTAGCAAAAAAATTAATAATATAAAATTGTTAATAAAATATTTTTTTTTAATTATTTATAAAAAAAGTAATTTAAATGCAATGTTTTTAAAAACAAAGATAAAAACCAAGCTGTATTATTAAAAAATAAGAACAATAGAAAAATTTGCTTTAACATCTTTTCTCTTTTAAACTATTCGCTTTAACGACCCGCTACCATACCAAGAATGCAACCTTGGACACTAACTCTGCTTATAATAACTTTGAAAACAAGTCATTTGAAACTTATCTGCCAAGCAAACTATTCATTAATTCCCATGCATGGTTATCATTGGATTATGATCGGCACCACCGCGCCAGTGATGCCATTCATGAATCAATGATGTGCCAAGATCTTATTCAATTGGCAACACTGCACAGTTGGTCAAAATGTGGCAAAACCATACAAAAAAATTTTGAAATTTAAAAAATGGCAAAAATTGTTCAACATATTAATCAAGCCAGAAATTATATTTTAGAAGAAAGTATTTTTGCGATAAAATATCATATATGTTATTTGAATCGCTAACTTGAAAAAGGGAACATACCCTGCAAAAATTCACATAACATGTCCCCTTTTTCAAGTTAGCGATTCATTTAAAAATCGTCTTAAAAACCTTTCATCAAAAAAAAAAAAAAAAAAGTGCGAAAATTTTATTTTTTTCCTTTTTTTTTAAAACTTTGATTTCTTATTTTAAAGAACTTTAAGTTTATTTTTTTTACCATATAAAATATAAATGACTTATATATTATTATGTTAATAACTGAATAAAATAATTTTTTTTGTTTGTTTGCACTTTATATAAATATTTTTTACAAAGAAAACATCGTTCATTTTGAAACAAAAAAAAAAAAAAAAAACTTTCAAAGGTATCATTTAAAACCAACGGGTCAACCTCCTAAAGTTGTATATCATTAAACACCACGATAGTATTGATCTCGTGGTTCAAAAACTGTCCGCCTATAGCTGCCTAAACGAATACACTTTTAAATTCAAATCAATACGTTATTGCTTTTTTATTTTATAATAATTAATTTAAGAGGAGTTAAAACAAAAAAACTGCAGTTTGACTTCATAATAATGTTTTTTATAAACTTAAAAAAATTAAAAAAATATTTTTTATCTTTTTGATTTCTAGTTATTGCATAGTCTTCGCTCAATAAACATTCAAATCACACTGAAACCAATATTTGTCATTCTTTATATTATCATTTTAAATTAATAACAACTAAATAAAATACGAAGTATGATCTTGTACCTTGTGCAAGTTAGCAATATTATTTATTTATTATTTATTTTAAAATTTCTGAAAACAATAAAATTATACGTATTCGATAAAAAACACCACAACAACCGATAAGAAATAAAGGAAAGTGAATTACGACTC